TGTTGTTCAAGGAAATTCAAAAGCTAATAGAGTAAGAATTCCTTCATGTGGTGTAACTGTGGTATCATGTCTTACTGTATTTGTGTTTCAAATCCATTTATGTGCAGAGAAACAGCTGTGGTTCTAAGGGAGAGGAAAAACCACGTTAAAGTTACTTAATGCTTTTAACCCTAAAGAAGCCAACTGAACTAAAGGTGTGGATTCCCAGAGATACAAGCCTACATTGTTAGCCAGTGGTAGTTTTGATGATTTCCCCACTCAGCCCAGCTCATGTTATGTCTTTCCAAAGATTCCCTGGACTGAGATGTCTACATTGTGCTGCTCCATGCTGTGTCTGTTTTAGGAATTTTATCTTCTTTCAGAGGTTAAAAACCAGAAAAAACAAAAGGCCATAATGGAAAAGTCAGGATTGCTGGTTTCAGACTTTCCTCTGCTCAAGGCCCCAAGCCTTTCATATAAATGCTTTTCATATAAAAATTGTGTACTTTGGTTTGTCATTTAAAGTAGAAGTGGATTTTGTTTGTATCTATTATAATTCTTAACACTTCTTAATACATTTTATTGCATTTCTTCCTTGCACTAATCAAAGATCTGAAAGCATCAAGCAGCTTGACTTAGAAATGTGTAGTTTTAGTAATTAAATTCTGCACCAAAGAAAAAACTATCAATTTTTTAAAAATCATCCTATCTCCAGTCTAATACTCAGTTTTCTGAGCTGTGTGTTTTATCTTCTCTGAATCAAAAATTTAGCAAGATAGAATGTGAAGTGTAGTATGTGCCATTTCCTTTTATCTTCTTTTTTTTCCCCACCTAACTGGGCAGATCATTTCTGATCTGCCCATTTTTTTATGATCTGCCCATTTTTTTATGATGTGAGGGGTGCTCTACATCTGAGGCAACAGGAGCTTAGCATTTACTGAATGGATTGGCAGTGACAACCATAAATATACCTCCCCTGTTTCTCCCCCATTCCCAATTACCAGGCATTATATAACAATCTCTAGGCAGGGAAAAGGAGTTAGTAAATTTTGCCACAGTAAATGAAGTCAGTTTTACACATACA